TCCTTATGTATGGACATTGCTTGTGGTGTACCCCAAGGGTCAGTTTTGGGTCCAAAATTCTCCACCTTGTACATTAACGACATCTGTAAAGTGTCCAAAGTATTAAAAATGGTTCTCTTTGCTGACGACAAACATGTTTTGCTCTGGTGATGATCTGCAGAAAGGGGTGGGATTAAATAAGTGTTTACTTCTTCCCACTCACTCCCTTTCAACATGTAAATTAATCAGAACTTTTTTTATGTAATTTGTATAGTATTTTTTTCTTTCTTATTTTCTTTTCTAAATGTACTTGTATACTGTTCACATGTTGAAATAAATTACCAAATTACCCAAATTACCAATTACTTGAATCAGCATTTCAGCTTTTATTGTAGTGTTTTTTGACACTGGTATCAAAAGTACAGATATTCTTTACTTAGTTCTACTCAAATAAAGAACATCTGTACTTTTGCCACTTCTGTCTACTACTCAGCCACTGACAGCACTTCAGCATGTCTTAAATACTCTTGAAACTGAGGAAGAATCAAGAACAATGTAAACGTCCTCCTTTTATGAGATGGTTAGCATGAGGGTCTGTGCAGACCTCCTTTTGCTCTACAGGTCCATATTGCCCTGCCCATACAGATGGTGCACTAGGGCTCTCAAGAACCTAAATATCTGCTCTGGCTGGAGGTGTGGCTGAATCATTTGCCACCTGGGTTCAGTTACTACGCCTGTTTCCCATCTTCAAATTACCACTGTGGATTTGAGGACCAGTTCTTACCTCAATTTTGCTGTCATACCTGCTAGTTGTCATTTACCGCCTTGTGTTCCCATGGATAGATGGCAATGTCATGAATATATAGTACCTGCTAGTATTTTATATTTTATTATTATCATTATTAGTAGTAGTAGTTTTCAGTTTATCCAGCTATAATGTGTAGAAGTTAATTAATACCAGTGATAGTGCTATTGATCACTACTTTCTTATGGACAGCAATGGATGATGATCTAGTTTCTTCATGAGCAAAAGCTGTTTGGTGCAAGTTTCAGGTCTGTGGTGAAATTGCTTAACGAACAGGACTTCTCTACGTGCCTGAGAAAATAACCTTGAAGGCAAACTAGCCAAATTTAAATATTTAAAGATACATATTCTGATTCCCAGAACTTCTTCATTATGCTCAGTGTCCCATACATATTTATATATACACTCAGGGTAAGAATACAGTGTACCCATTGTCGATTCTAAGATTTTACATATCTGGAATCATAAAAAGATCATCTGTCCTTTAGCAGGGTCTAAAATTGCATAATAACAATACATAACAACGGCATCATTTATTTAACAAAAACTAAGCTAAAATGCAAAATTATTGCATGAAAAACTGAGGTGCTTAGTTTTTCACACGCTGTTTTAGCATTTTGACTTAGATTTTTTAAATAAATAATGACACATTGTAAAATGTCATGTACTCTCGTGATCTATTTCCTCATTTAAATGAATTGAATAATTTTAAAACATGCTAAGCTTTGATAAAACTATGATATATGATGCCTTGGAAATGAGGTCAGATGCACTGAACACTAATGAAACCTTTATTTTAAAACAACAACATTTGGGAATCTTTAACAAATGCAGAATGTAGAATGTTACATTAGTGCTTCCCATCATTAGTACACATCGATTAGCAAACCGTAAGTAACTAAGTAAAGTCTAATTAACAATGAAATTGCAGTGAATTAATCATCTTTTCATTCTGAATGACAAATCAACCCTTACAGTGTCATTTAATAACCAGGAAGTTAAACTTTTGATTTCTTTTGAGAGATCGTGCTTTTTAATCATCAATTGTACCCAAAT